ACAGGCTACACTGCCACCTACAGGCAGACGATCTCAATTGAAGCTGGAGAGGAAGACGGGGACTGTCTGCACATGCGGAGAGGCTTCCATCACATCATCCAGGGCTTTCCTCACTGTGTTGTCACTGATGGAGTCATCAATTTCTTTCTTGCCAGGACAGATAAAGTGCAGCAGGTGGGCTTTGACCCCCGGCTAGCCCGTGTTGCGCATTTGGGTGAGTTTTCAATGGAGTCCAAACACAAAAGTAGGTGTTTCTAGGATTGTGGTGTATTTTGCAGCAAGATTTCACAAAAATGAAACTCCTCAATTAGGTATGCACCAATATTAAATTCTGAGGCAAGATACTGATAAGCTGATAAGTATTTTGTGTTGTGCTGATAATTATGTTATGACTGCTGTATTAAAACTATACTATTTTATATAAATAAATATATATATATTCACTGAACAAAATTATAAACGCAACACTTTTGTTTTTGCCCCCATTTTATGTGCATATATGCCTTTTGCTTTATTAAAGCAGCAGCAATTGTCATTATAAGAAATTACAAACACGCTGACACAAAAAGGGACAAAAATTTCCTAATTTCTATATTTTGTTTTACAGAGTTTTTTATCGATGGACTCGGCTCCCTGCATGTTGGGTCATGTGATGATGTCATAGTGAACCACGCCACCAAAATCAAGCTGCCGTGGGGCCAGTCGGAAAGCGACAAAACTTACGCAAGGTTCCGCTACCCTCCTGCTTCATCTGATGCGACACACACCAAAAATGGCCTCTTGTACTTCAAAAACCGCTTCCAGTGTCTAACACACAACTGAACACACCCTGGCTATGCCTTCATCCCTTTCTCTCATCCCCCCTAAACGAACACTCTCTCCCTGAGTAGCTAACGGGACCTGTGAAGACACTGGAAGTGTGCTGTGTATGTACTGTATTTGGTTCCATGTAAGGGTCATAATGTGATCACATGACTGACAGATGAGATGCACATTGATGGCTGGTTAAGATTTTTTTGATACCTGAAGATGTCGTATTTTTGTGTCTCCTTTCTTTAGCTTTATTTTTGTTCACAAGAATTCTTTAGATACAGATCAAACCATTCCGTAAATTATGCACAGCCGTCTTTTTCTCCTCAGCCAACCGTGTTTCAGTATCACATTTAAAGGGATAGTGAGACCAAAAATTTATTTTGTCATCATCTACTCACGTGGATGTTGTTTCAAATGCATAAAGGAGACTTTCAAGCTCCTTAATGACAAGGATTTTTTGACAGAATTTTCAATTTTGAGTGAACTAGTCCTTTAATTGATGAGAAAACAGAAGAAGTTTCTTTTGAAACGAAGAGAAGACAGCGGAGGTAAACATTTTGAACCATGACTTTTAGAATTTTTAAGTCCAGTTAAAGGGAGACCATTTCTTTGGGACATTGACATGGAATGTCACATCAGCTCCCTGCCTGGCATTAATCGTGTGTGTGCTTATGTGTGTCTGTGTGTGTTTTATTGAGGGTCGTCTCTCTGTATGTTTGCACTAAAACAAATGGACTTCAATTGGAGAGACTCGACCCTCAGCGTCACTAAAAAGAAGGAATGGACTGAACATCATTATCAAGCTAAAACCACAGATGATCCAAAATATCACTATCTCTCTCTCCCTCTCACATACACTCTCCGACAGATTTCTCAGCAAAAGATGGAGGGGTGATTCATTGTACATCAGTAAAATCTGTATTTGATTTTTTTTTTGTTTTAAAGAGTGACTGTGCCAAAGGCTTAATTACTGTCCTTGTATGACTTGTTTATTGTTTGTACTTTTTTTTATTTCCTTTATTCTGGGTTCTTTTTAAGATTGTATCCTATTGTACTGAAGCATGAAGATAGCAGCCAGATGTGAAGTCCAATGCCAGCTTTTATAAATGTAGTTAGCAATCACATCGTAAGCGTATATTCCAAAGGCGCTTACTGTACGGGTTTTATTTATTTATTTATTTGTTTGATTGTTTGTTTGTTTGAGCTGGATTTCATCCAAAGCCAGATTTGTGGGGAAAAAGGTCAAGTCAATGGCTTTTGCTTTGCAGAATGGCTGAGACAACTAGCCTTACTAAAATAAAAAAAGCAGCATTAATAAACTTTTCAGAGTAAATGGCAGAGATGTGCAAATAACAAAAAATATGAAATAAAATGGTTATTCAAATGTTAGGCTATATCTACACAGTATCAGTCAAAAATATGAAAACACCTACTGATTCTTTATTCATTCTTATTATTATTTTCCACATAAATTTTGTGATGAAAATGTCGAACCTAAAAACAAATCAAAATTAAATGTTATATTCTAGCTTTTTTAAAGTAGCCAAACTCTGCTCAAAAAAACATTACAAAAAAACTAGGTTTCTAAAAGACATTCATAAACAGACACTATGTATATTTCTCAACAAAAATTAACCTTTAAGATCAAAAGGTCATGATAAATGTGTCCAAACCTTGATTTGTACTCTATATTTCATAGAAATAAATAATAGTTAAAAAAATTACCTGTATGCAGCCACCTTCTGTAGAGTAAAAGCATGGACGAAGCCGATGTAATTGCTGTCTAATCCAATGTATAACATCCTTTTGCATAATTTTAATTACGTTTGTTTGCATATTGTTTGTTTTATGTGTGTGTGTGGGAGAGAGATAAGTGTTTTTTAAACTACATCAAGTGGGCTTTACTTTGTTGCTCATGAACAGCATGAGGCCCTAAAGACTGTTTGCTGCATTATACATTGAATCACAGATTCTTCAAATAATGTTCAACATTATGGCCTTGTCAAAGATTATACCTATGTGTGTGAGTGTGTGATAGTTTTCCCCTTCCTTTCTGTTACATCCTGTCTAAAAACGGTGCCATACAGGAGTAAATAAGTGCATGACTGTCCAGAAAGCCTTAAAAGAGGTTAAGGAAGTGAAAGAACACATAATGGATTTTACATAATACATAATTCAGTACATAATGGATTTTAATGAGTGCACAGGTTGAATATAACAAGCAATGGTGTAAAATGGAATTGAAAACTAACTCTTGTGCACTTGCTTTGTATCTTGAATGCCATATGATGCTCCTCAAAACAGAAAAAAGTTATAAAATCCTTTTAAATTTTTCTTTATCGCTCTCTACCAGTCCTGAAAAAGACAACTGAAGGATGCAGTCCTGCAATACTAAGTATAGAGCTGCTATGATTCTGTTTGAAGAATGCTTCCATTTGTCTACCCTGCATATTCAGGTGAAAGCATGAGCGCAAGGTCAAAAAGGAGCATGTAAAAGCATTGGTGTAAGGCTACTTGATTCTTACGGTTAGTTTCAGATGAGCTTAAGATGATAGGAGCTTGAGCAGATATGGGAAGCTGAATATCTGATTTTCTGGCTGTGTATTAAATGGCGAGTTTGAATTTTTGATGATATTTAAAGCGTGTTTCTCAAAAACCTCCCTGCTTCCTCTTCACTTTACTGCAATGATCATGATTCTGTCTCCTCATCTCTGGGTTTCTCACTGTGTCTGCATGACTCCTAATTTCTGTTGGTGTTTTGTATCTCTACCAGTGGGTAGCTAATTCTCTGTCCCCCAAAAAGTATGGCTGCCTATTGATCATTTTTTAAAGGGGTCATATGATGCTGCTAAAAAGAACATTATTGAACAGCCGGCATTGTAGTCTACTCTACCTGGATCAGGAAACCATAAAAATGTGCTGGACACATCTGAATATTTGGGTTAAACTGTTCTGGAACAGTGTTGTAAA